AAAGAACGAGTATGTATCTTTTTTGCTTTTTTTTTGGCCTATTGCTCTTCGCCTGCTACTCTAATGGTCTTGAGAGAACAGGAAAAATCTTGCCCTGGATGCAGGAAAAAAGCAATTAATTTTGGGAAGTGTTGAACAGGGTTTTAATGAATTTTAAGGTTTAAGACCACGCAGGTCTGCTCAGCCCAGGGGGGAAAGACCCAGGAAAGGCCTTTAGATGAGCAGAAAGATGAGGGGAGGAGAGGCCTTTTGCCTCCTTCGTTAGCATGGCCCCTCTGCCACCTGCTAATTTGCAGGGCTGAGTGGCAGACGTTACTGTGTCACCAGGTTAAAGCTGCCTGACGCCCAGGCTGCACTCGCTGTGCGAAAGGGTCTTTGGAAATGATGTTAGGAGAGGAAAAACTCTGATGTTTGATGAAACGTACCCCAAAAAAACCCTCCTGCTCCTGTGGCCATCGCCCTGGTACCATAGCTCACTGGCAAACCTGGCGTTACATGGCAGAGAGCAGGGTGCAAAATTAGCCACGTCAGTTGATGCTTAACATGGAAATAATGAGAATACTTTTGAAGAGGAAAGGGGGTTTCTCCATATGAAACAAGTGTTTCTATATGAAACCTCCCCAAAATGGAAATAAGAGCTTCCACCTGGTGGGTGGGGGCCATTTGCAGGCTTCCTGCTAGAAGAGAGCTTGGAGGATGGGGAGGTATCGTACCCCTTCTTCCCTGGGCTTGGGAATTGGTGCCTGGCTATTGCCCACACACGCGTGTGATTGCACATGTGCGTGCACACACATGATCCGTGGACGAAGCCCTGGCCCCCCTCTCCCCGCAGGCTCCCCGCTGGCTGGGCAGCACGGGGTGGCCAGCCTGACCGGCAGCGCAAGAGCGAGGAGTTGACGGACGAGGAGAAGGAGATCATCAACCGAGTCATCGCCCGGGCCGAGAAGATGGAGGAGATGGAGCAGGAGCGCATCGGGTAAGGCGGTGGTGGCACCGACACCGCGCTGGTGGGACGGGAGGGACCCCGCGCCTTGCTGGTGCTGGCGGGGGAAAGCGCTCGCTTGGCTGCTTTCCTGGCCAGCAGCTACTGCGCTGACTGCACTGCAGTGTTTCTCCTGAAAGGGAGCCTGCGGGGGATCTTTTTGAGCTGGCGTCGGTCCTTGGCCAGGAGGAACCTGTAAGCAGGGGAGGGAGCCGCTTGGCATGCTGCTGCCGCTCGGTGTGCCGCTGTGTTCTAGACCAAGAATTTATAGTCTCATCGATTTGATTTTTTTTTTCTTTTTTTTTGCCGGTCCAGAAGGGATCATTAATAACATCTCATTTTGGGGAGTGAGGCTGCTGCTGCTTGCCCAGTCCTGAGCCCGAGCACCTGCGAGTGCAGGCAAAGCCATGGCTCACCAAAAGGTGTTTTGTCTTGTTTTGGGGACACAGATGGATCCATCACCCCCTCCAGCAGCGTGTCCCGACGGTTAATCCCTCCTGCCACCCAGAAATGAGCTGTCTGTGAAGCTGAATAGGTCTGAGTGTTGCCCAGCCTTGGGGCTGGACACGTGTTGGGACCAGCTCCTGGGGGGGCTGGGGAATGCTGGTGCTGCCCCAACCGCATCCATGGTGGGGTACCCACCATCGCTGGCGGGTGCTGTGGGCATCCCCGGTGCTGATGCACCTGGCCTGGAGCAGAGGGCAAGAAGTGCCTGTGTTTGCATTTATTGCATCTCTACCCTGCCTGGGCAAAGGTGCCAGGTGAAATAATGCTAATAATTAGGTATCGACTTGCTGTGCTGGGGATGGTTTTCTGGAGGGGATCTCCATAATCCTGTTTGTCAGGCGTCATGCCTTTTTTCATTACAGAGGAATGTTTTATTCTTGCTGAGCTTAAGCATCGACTGCTTTTTTTTTTGTTTGGTTTTTTTTCCCCTTGCAGGGAAACTACTCAGGCCCAGGCAGGAACTGTGCTCTCTGCCGCGTCGGAGAACATCAAAGCCCCTCTCGTAGCTCAGGGACAGCTTTGCTCAGCAAACAGGCGCGTGGCCCTGCGGGGCACCTGTTTGGTGAAACGCAGAGAGGATCTGCCTGTGCCCGCAAAGCCTCGCGCCGCAGCCGGAGCTTTAATCCATCACCCTGACTGCTTAATAACCCTTAAATATTGAGTGTGCGTTTGCAATGCAGGCATGGGGTGCTCCAGCTGCAGCACGCAGTCTTCCTCGGTGGCTGCAGCCCATTGCCTCCTAAGTGGTGGATTTATTTACTTGTTTTTAGAAATACGTTGTTAGGAGCAGGTCTGTGAACAGCTTAGGCAGGTATCACCTCAGCAGCAGCTGTTCTTGCTGCCTGGGGCTTGGCGTGTGCCCCGTGGCTTGTGCTGCTTCCCTGGGCTTGGAGGGGGGCTGCCCCTCCGGCCGGCATTGCCTTGTGTTACAACGTGCAATGCCTTTCCTCTGCTGGCTTTCTGGCAGAAAACAGGTGAAAGTAGCTATGAATGGTGGTGATTCATTCTGGAAAAGTGCTTACAAACAGCATTTCCCCAGCTTTGCACATTTGCAGCCCAGTAAGAATTACTCTCAAACGTGATGCTCTTTGGATTATGCTTAAATCAACTTTAGCAGTGGGGGGGAGAGAGGTTTTTTTTTTTTCCTTGCTCATGCGTTCCTGCAGCTGTCTGCAAACCTGCAGAAACTCTCCCTTTTACCTTTGTTAGCCGAGTCAGAGGAGGTTTCTCATCCTCATTCATGAAAAAGCCGGGCGGAGGACTTCGTGCTGTACTCAGAGTAGAGCAAGGGAAGGCTGGCGGATGTGCAGTCGCAGCTGATTTGCCTCCTGCATGTAGGCGTAGCAGGAGCCCTGCCAACTCCTTTGTGTTTGTTGGCTTGCACAACAAGAGCTGTAGGATGTGCAGCTACAGAAATATGGGACAGCATCTATATCAGTCTCTTGCAGAATCGCCCATTCAGAAGCTGCTCGGATGTTATCCAGGATAGCTCCTTATATTACAAAATAATCCGGGTTTGCCCGGCTGGCCTCTGGCAGGGATGCAGCGGTTGTGAGAGTGTCCCTTGGCCAAACAGGCTGCTCTAGGGAGGTGACCCTGGAAAGCCTGATTTTCTGCAATTTTCTGGGATTTTCTGTTCCTGTAAGGGGGGAAAAAAAAGGAAGATCCATTAAAAACCTGGTTTTGGTTAATATAAGGAATAGCTTACATGAAGCGAATGCGCCTTCCAAAGGGGAACATGTGGTAAATACTTGGAGTTGTCTTAATAAGTGGATTGTGTTTGGGGGGGTGCATTTGAGCTTTACATATAATACTTGAGCAATCGTGAAGTCTACAGGTGGGTGCTGGCTGCAGATGAACCTCCTTGTGCCTTGAAGTCCCTCCTGATTTAGTGCCATCCATCTCCTGCCCTCTTGTGTCCCCTCTCCTGTATCCGCCGTCCCTTGAGCCCCTTACTGTGGCCGGCTGGAACAAATCGATGCTGCTTGTTGAGAAGATGTTTGTGGAATCAGAACTCATGTCAAACCCAGCTCAAATTAATCTAGAGAAAGAGTATTTTTAGCACGGGGGTGGATGGGGGCCCGCGGGATATGTGATCTGGATGCTGATGAGGATTGTAGGACAGGAACGCTTTGGTGTGTGGTGTTTTTTTTTTTTTTGGCTGGGTCATTGTCTCATAGCACAGAGAAGGATAACAGGAGCTGAAATCATCTTAAACAGCAATATAGCAAGAGTGCGTCAGGCGTGAGCTGATGAAGGACTTTGCAACTGCCTGGGGATTAGGATAGTCCTTTGGGCCGGTTTAAGGGCACAGGGGCTGAAAGCCAGCGGGCAAAGGGTTTGGAGGGCAAAGTGGACCTGTGGCAGGGACGGATCCATTCTCATCCCTTCTCCCTCCCCACTTGGCCTGGGCTTGTGCTTGGGGGGTCCCTGCGGTGACTCTGTGCTGTCTCCTGCTGTGATGCTCTGGCGGCAGCGGTGGTGGTGATGCTCCGGCTGTGGTCCATGAGGAGCCTGTTCCTCCCAGCTGACACAGGAGCACCTGCAGGCACTAAGAGGCTCTGTTATGCACTTATAATTAGGTGCTATCAATAACCCACCGAGTCTGCTCTGCTGCCTAATGAGGTCCATCATGCTCTTGGCATCGAAGAAAATATCTTAAACCAGGCAAAGTTAGAAATTGCTTTTTCTGGAGAGCGCCTTGCGGCACGGAGCCGGTTCTCCCAGGGGTGATGTGACACATCGCTCCTGGATCTGGCCGTGCCCCTGCCTGGGTGCAGCTATTCCCTTCCTTCTGGTCCCCTCTAAAAGTGTGATGGTTTGAATTGTCTCCCCATGGGTCACAGCCCCTCACCTTTCCTCCGAGAGGACCAGCTATAAAGCAGGATTGCATTTTAATTTGGCTGCTTATTGCTGGGATGACACGTGCGTAATGCTGGAGCAGATGGCTGAAGTCACAGGGGATTAAGTCATTAACCTCGGTGGCCAGCAGCAGAGACGTTCTCTGGGGACCACAGTCTCGTATCTTCTTCCTTGTGTTCAGACAACACAAAAATAAGAATAGGGGCCAGGAAGGGCAGGGTAGTTGCTGGAGGCAGACAGAAATGTCTCCTGAGATGCCAACTTCTAGAAGAGACGAGGTTAATTCATGGCCAGAAGACAGATCACGCGCATCTAGAATTTTTGTGGGGTTTTGGATTTTTTTTTTTCCCTCCCCAAAAAAACCTCCTCTCTCATTTCTGAGACTGGGATGAACCTGCAAAATAACAACCCTCCTGTAACACGTCACCGGAGGCAGCAAGCACCTGGAGTGCTGCACTAGCACGGAACGGGATACTTTGAAATGCATGAATCCCCCGGCCTCCTTGGGCATCTTCCCTCCGTAGCGAGGGCTCTCAGCAGAGGATGAACTTTGAAAGTCGACCTGTAAAGCTCAAAGGATGCTTTGCCTTTAGTTACCTGTGCACTTGTAAGGGAAGAAAATTGCTTCTAATTTTTCATCCTGATTTTAATTATGTTTTCTTTAATCTGTAGCTTGGCTTCTTTTCTTGTCTCTTTTATACCATTAAAATTAGTCCTACTTTAATATTCAGCCCTTTAAGGCACATGATTTTCCCCACGGAGGCAAGTCAGTGCTTAATTCTAGAGGCAGTTTGTGACCTCCTTTGTGTTTTACTTGAATTTTTTTTGCCACGTAAGTGGTGGCTGAGTCCGTCCCTGCTGGGGCTGGGGAGCACTCAGCTCATGGTGCCCTGGGTCAGGTCCTTCTCCTGCCCCTGTGCAGCAGTTCATTGCCTGCTGCATTAAATGTCCTCCCCGACACGGTTTAAAACCCATTAGGCACATCTTTAGCTGTTTGCTTCTGCAGAGTGGCAATGAATATTTAAACACAACAAACTCTTGCATGCCTGTCCTGCTGTTAAGTCTTGTTTTCCAAGATCATCAGCACTTAATGCCAGTGACTGTCTGTCCCTCTCTGGATTGCTCTGGTCCTAGCGCAAGAGAAAACACCGATGCCGTAGCACTGCTGTCCTATCTGGGATTCAGCCCAGCCCGAGGTGGTCCCTCAGCCCGGCGAGCAGCCTTCACTGCGTCCCTGGGGGACCCTCTGCCTGCCTGAAATCACGGGAGATGTTTGCAGGTCTTCCTCCGAATGCGAGCCCTTCCCCTGCCTGTGCCGGGGTTCCCGGGTGCGGGCAGGAGGCGGCAGGGAAGGCTTCCCACCAGCCCTCGCTGTCCCGGGGCTGCTCGCCTTTCTCTTGCAAACCATATTTATGGGGCCAGGCAGATATTATATTATCAGGGGACTATTTTATTGCTGTTATCATCTCAGGTGCATGTTAAGCATTTCAGATATAGTGTATCGCCCGGTTCTTATATCTTGTTCCCATCAGTGACTAATACATATTTCTTTGGCAGATGCCAGATGCTCTCCCTCTCCGCAGGGCTGTCTCCAGGAGCGGTGATGCTCCCGGGTGCCGGGCTTAGCCAGCTCTCTGCCACCGGCTTCAATTACTCCTCTCTTGGGCTTTTTTCCCTATTTTAACAATTTGAAGCATATTTCCTGCTCTTTGAAGTTAGTCTTGCAGAAGCCAGAGGGATGGGCACTTTGAAGTGCGCATAATGGTAAGGAAGATGTCGCTGTAGTCCTAGAGACACACAAGGGAGAGTGGTGAATTGGATGGCTATTTTATGTGCAGTAAAAATGAAGAACAAATGATATCTAGGGGAGAGGGAGAAAAAAGCTTTTGGGAAGGCAGAAAGCTTGTTCCTAGCTGCTACCTGGGCAAGAGCAGGGCGTCCCTCCAGTTATTGGTTAGCGGTGGGCGAACAGCCCATGTGTGGGGTTCCGGCACACATGTAGGATGGTGCTGGATGAAGTCGAAGAGAAACCTGGGCTTTTTGCTCCTGGTTATCACCTTAATCAGGAGCTTCCCAGCCTGCGGCTCTCGGTGCGGTACCCCCTTTCTGGGTCCTGCCCTCTTTCTGCCAGGTTCACGCCAGGACTTAAAATTTAACTTTTTGTACAGTCCTCTCATGGCAGGAAAAAAAGCCAAATTTCTCCAGCTTGAATGGGTGTTTAATTAGGCAAATGTGCTTCATTTGAAACTGGTGCCACAGGTGTGTGTACTGACTGCTGAAACTCTTCCACTGGTTAATAAAAAACCTGAAGGAGCCGCTTCTGGTAATGAGAAACTGGGAAAGATTTTGCAGCTAAATAATGAATCTCTTGAAATGCAAAAGCTTTTTTTTTTTTGTTTTGCTTTGATTGTGCCATTTGTTCTAGTTTCTATAATAAGTTTGTTTGGGCTTGCAGATTTCCAACTGGAAGCTGCTTCTCTTGGAGCAGAGCTCTTGCAGCACAGGGAGGGGAACTGCAGAAGCTATGGGCTTATACATGTGCTTCGCTGCTAGGAAAATAAAGGTTTTGCCCCCCAAATGTGTTCCCTGCCCAGGTGGGAGCAATGTGCTGCAACAGAAGCTGGATGTTGTTGGTTATTTGCTGTGGGGGCTCTTCATGGGAACCCTGCATTGCATGCGGTGAGACATGGGCTGGGAACAACCGTGGTGTGATTCATTTCATTTAAATAAGAAATGTTTGGGGAGCAGCCAGTTTCCAGGTTTTAATTGGAATACTGCTCGTTGCTGGCCGGGTGTTTATGGGATGATGTGGCTCTCCTGAAACCACCGAGACCTCCCCTGTTTGCAGCAGGGTGTATCGGCCACAGAGCTTGGGAAGGCACTAAGGGTGGGTGATGGCTCTAGCAGCTGACTTACTCTGTAGGAAGAAATCGCCTATGGATCATCTGCAAAGCAGTAAGCAGATGCTCAAGGGCAGGGATAGACAGCCACATCTCTCAGGAGTAACACCAGAGCAGGGAATTAAGCTAGCAGATCGCTTCCCCGTTAAGAGTAAAGTGGAAAGGCATTCAAGCACCTCACTGCAGTCCAAGGATGCTGTTTTTCAACAAAAACTGTCTTGTCCAGGAAACAAACTAGCTCAGGTTGACAGCCAGAATTTCCGTATTTAGAGAGCCCATAGTCATGTCACTGCCGAAACTTCAGGCGATGAAAACTGAAGGAACTTGCAAGCTCGCCCATCTGCTGTCTGGTGACACCGTAGCTGTGAAAATAGCGATTTCTCCTGACTGCTGGCTCCGTCTGGCTCCGCTGGCTTCCCGGCCCCAGCCCAGCTTTTCTCTCTCCTCGCTGGGAATGGGCTTGCAGGTTCATTAAAAACCATCAGGAGGCACCTCCACATCGGCAGCCGCCTTGGCCCTAAGCATGCTTGAACCCAGGGAGGTCAGCCCCCTGCGTGGGGAGGAGTGGGAAATTCTCCAGCGGGTTTTAGCACAGCCGACACCTTCCACCTAAATGAGATGTTGTAATAACGCGGCTTTGGTCAGATAACGTACGCTGAGTCGTGGAGCCGCGTCCCCGCTTTGGGCTTGACTCAGTGGCTGATGAAGTGCTTCGAGATGCTCCTGTTGACTGCAGTGAGTTTCCAATGGGGCATTTTATTGAACTGTAATAGGTTGCGTGTTCCATGATGCTTTATTTTTCCCCTCTTGCTGCTATTCCTTTATCAAGCACCCATGTACAATAACGCCGTTGCATTTCCTCGTGTGGTCCACGGGACGCCGGCCGCCCTGCGAGCGTCTGGAGACCAACTGCAGAGGCACCTTATGTAGAGGGGAGCTTATAAATTGTTTATGAGCAATTCCAAGGTGCTGGCAGCCAAGCTGTCATAAATCTGAAGCTGTCATCAGACATGTGGGAAAATGTCTTTTAAACGTCGGGTGTTTTTTATGGCACACCGTGTTAGCGGCTTTGTCAGATTTGGGTCAGGCTGCCGTGGGAGCGGATGGCAGCCCCGCAGGCGAGGGGGGCTGCTGCTCTCTCTGGTAGGCTTGGGTCTCCTCCTCCCTTTCTTCATTCCGTCTCCTTCCTCGCTGAATGGTATAAATAATGCATCCCTTTCCCCTTCTAGTGCTATTTTTAGGGCCGGGATTCTGGGTTAACTGAGCGTACAACTCGCCGCCAGCTCTTGGGTGCTCGGAAGGCAGCTCGTTCCTGCTCCCGCTTTGCAAACTGCTTTTGCCAGTGCTGTGTTTTTTTCAGAAGTTGCTTAACTGGGTTTTTTTTACCTTTGCAGTAAACAGGTGTGTTTTTATAGCCTGTTCTCCAGTGGGCTTTTTGCATTTTACTCAAAGAGCTAAGAATTTCCATGAAGTAAATTATATGCAATCCGTTTCTTAGAAAATGAGAAAACTAATTAATTCATTCAGTCCTCCTGCCAGAGCCCTTCCAAGATCTCCTCTCGCAGTTCTTCCACGGGCAGTCGTTGGGACTGGGTGGAAAGGTTTCCATTTGGGGAAAAAGCTGCTTCGCTGATGCCAAACGGCTTTGTGCAAAGGTGCTGACTTGGATGGATTTTATGCTCGTGTGTGTATGTGGGAACCGGGGCTGGTATCTGCTCTCTGGCAGCATCAGTGGAAGTTAATAGTCATGCGATATAAAGCTATAGGGGAATATAATACTCCGACATGTCCCCTGGGATGTGTCTTTTCCCCTGGTTGCATTCCTGTAGCTGGAAGAGGAGAGGCTCTGCTGGAAGCTGCACCAGGAAAAGGAGCAGCCTGGACCAAAGGCAGCAGCTACCCCTTGGGAGCGGGACCCCCGCATCCCGGCTGTGCGGTGCCTTTCCTGACAGCCCCTGTCCCCTTTCTGCCAGGCGACTCATGACCCGGCTGGAAGACATGCGCCGGAGCGTGCTGGGGGACGGGGTGAACCGCTGCATCCTCTGCGGGGAGCAGCTGGGGCCGCGGGGATCCGCCTGCGTTGTTTGCGAGGACTGCAAGAAGGTGAGGCATCTCCCTGTAACCTACTGCCAGGTGCAGCCCCCCCGGACCCACACATCCCCCCCCGGTGCGAAAATGGGCACCTTGATCTTTCAGCGCATGTTCTGATTGCTCAGTGTCCCTCCGCACGTGGCACAAGGGGACCTCCCTGGGGGTTTCTGCAATCACCGATGTTTGTGCTGGGAGAGCTCTCGTTAACTGTCTCTCATTAACCTCACGCTCCCGAGGGATGGTGCTGGCGTGGTGGGACCTTCGGTGGCCGCGGAGTCCCAGCTGCCACCTGGCGCTTTGCTTTCTCTGTAGAACGTCTGCACCAAGTGCGGGGTGGAGACCACCAACAGCCGGCCCC